TTTTTTTTTTTTTTTTATAGACTTAATAGTTTGAAAAATTATTTTATAAATTATATTACTTGATAAAACTCTAATGATAGGAAATAATTAGAATCAAGGTGAAGGTGATAATAGTTAAGAATTATATAAGCGAATACATTATTATACATTATCATTGCATATTAATATCATTACTCGTATTTTTTTTTGTATATTTTCTAGTAATATCTCTTTTATGTTGTTATAGTTGTTTTTCACATTATATGATGTAAAATATTTTTTTCTATTATATGCAATAGTTTAAATGTTATCATAATGCCGCTATTACATTCACATTTCATTAAAAACAGATCAGCATCGGCTTAGAATATTCAACTTGTTCTTTTATATATATTAACATTTTAACATATTATCTAGTTAGAACAAATTCAAAGGTTTTAAAAATTATACTTTTTATTTTCACAAATCGATATAATTTTACAATAGATTTGTAATATTCTATTGTAAATTTTTCAATTTTCTATTGTAAATCTATTTTAATTTTGTAATATTTATTTTTAAAAATGGAATTCCAATGAAAAATATAAAGTAATAAATATTTGATAATAAATTTGATATATTAATACGACAATAGAAATTATGCAAGTCAATGTTATGCTCATTGCATAACAACTTAATCATTGCTTTCTTTATACTTCTTTCTAAAGAATAAAAATTTAAACAAGATTAAAAATTAAATAATTAAACTTTATTATATTTTTAAAGATTTTTTTTAATATATTACTAATTTATATTTTATTTTTTAGGTCCTATATGAAGTACAAAATACATAAAATACGAAAAATATATATGAATTATATTTCTGCTATATTATATGTGTAATATAATTAATATATGAAACAATTTTTGAATATACAAAATAGAAATTTTGAGTATACAACATAGATTTCTTATAAACAACATTTTTGTATAATACAGTTCTTTATATATGGTGGGGACATAGGAATTATCTGCTGACACTCCTTAAAGCCCCAGTATGTGTTTGTTCTGTTCGCGTATAATAACTCGCAGAAGTTCAATTGAATTTAGAAATTTCGGAAAAAATTTATTTAATATTTTTAATTAATAATGATTGTTTTTAAACTTATATTTTTCATGAATTTTATCTACTCAACTTTAGGTAATTATTAATATTGCTGTTGCTATTGTTATTATTTTATAATTGTACGAATTATATATATATATATATATATATATTTAGTTAATAAGTTTTTAAATATCATATATTAAATTTTAAACAAATATATTTGTTTCTTAAAATGACAAAAAATATGAGATATAGATACAGATATAAATATAGAAAATAAATAGGTATATTGAATATAGATAAATATAGATATAGATATAGATTACAACATTTATCTACATATATTCTATTTCTGTAACTATCTTTAATACTCAAGTATTTAGTTTCAGAATACTTGAAATTATAATTTAAAGTATCTTGTTCTTATCTTTTAGAATTGCTTATGCTAATTGAAAATGTTAAGACAAGTAAACATAATAAAGAAATTGAAAATGATAGCCTCCGACTAGTGACAGTGGTAAATATAAAAAAAAACTTAAATTAAAAAAGTTTAAGAACATTTAGAAAATAAATTTTTTATATTGTAAATATTTTTTCTCTTTGAAATATAAAATTTATACATGTTATAAATTTATATATGCTTATTTGAATCAAATGTATTTGCTGTTGAATTAATGTTATTATATGATCAATGAAAAAGATATGAATTTCTAATCATGATAATAAATTTTTAGATAATGAGACATGGAGAGAGAGCACCTCAGGATACTTATCCAAATGATCCTTATCTCAATAATTCTATGGAACCTTATGGTTGGGGACAATTAACAAATGTAATATTTTTACAATTTCTATTACTATATCAACGATATTTTTATTATCAACATAAGTAATCCTATGTAGGAAGGAAGAAGAAATCAATACAATCAAGGTCTTTTTCTACGAAAAAAATATAATAATTTTTTGGGTCCAACATATAGTCCTGATATATTTTATTTGCAATCTACAGCAGTTGATCGTACAAAAATGTCTGCTATGTTAGAAGCAGCTGCTTTGTGGAAACCAACTGAAAAACAATCTTTTAAACGTGATTTAGCTTGGCAACCAGTTACCTTATTTTATCAACCGCGTTCGGAAGATACAGTACATATTTTATTTTACTCCATGCATAATATTAATTTTATATTTATTGTTATTAAATTAATATTTAAATTATTTATGAATTATATATATTAGTTAATGCTGATATGGGATACATGTCCAAAATATACCAAATTACGACACGCAATTATGAATTTACCAGAAATTCAACAAATTCAAGACGAGAATAAACAATTTTACAAAGAATTAACGAATTTAACAGGTATGGTGATTTCAACTCCAAATGATGTCAATTCACTTTATGGAACATTAACAGCAGAGGTTTGCAGAAAAAATTAATACGTTATTTTATATGTAACGTACTTAAAGAAATTTTATTAACATTGTAAATTGATTACTTTAGAAACATATGAATTTAATTCTTCCCAAATGGACTAAAAATTATTATCCTGATAAACTAATACCACTTACATTATATGATTTTCAATTAAATGTATATAATGATGTTCTTAAAAGACTTAAAGGAGGACCATTTCTTAAAAAAATTATTACCGATATGTTAGCGAAAAAAAATAATACTTTAAAACCCGAAATAAGAAAAATGTTCATGTATATTGGTCATGATAGTACTATTGTAACTTTAATGGATGTCATGCATGTATGGAATAATCAAATGCCAAATTATAATATCATGATAATGATTGAATTGCATGAAAATAATGATGAATGGAATGTTCAGGTAAAGCAGTAATATAAAGTAATATAAAAAAACTTGATAAGATATAATATAAAAATTATTTCTATTATTTTTATATTCTATTTTTTTTTAGATATTTTTAAGAAATACTACTGAATATGAACCATATCCTTTGACAATTCCTGGATGTACAACAATATGTCCTCTTGAAAAATTTATACAAATTTTAAATCCAATGATCCCAGATAATTGGAACGAAGAATGTAAAGTTAATGGAGAATATAAACCGCCACCGGCACCACTTCCTTAATTATGATTATTTGGCAAAAATGCAAAATGATCATGAGAAATATAGTAAAAGAAATATTACAATAAATAACTTCATTTCAAAAGATGAATTGAAAATGAATATTTTTTCTAAAAAATTATTAAAACGATAATTTTTGTATTTTAAATCTAAAATATATTTATAGTTTTTTAATTTAAACTAATTTCTAATGTTAATTAAAAACTTTTCATAAAATGTATTTATTTACATCTTTATTTACTTTTTTATTATATCCATACTTTGTTTATATTCTACTTGCTATAAAAAAATATGTACTTGTGTATAAGAAACATATGCATATGTTGATAGCATATCGAAGCAATCGCTTATAATTAGATTTTTTTTTCTTAGGCAAATATTTTTTCTTCTCGACGTTTTTTTGTAACTACTGTACCAGGTTTATGTTGAGCATCCGGATGATTTAATAATTCAGGTGGACAGGTAGATATAGGACTTGCAAGAATAGTTTGTTTCAGATCATAGAATAGATGGCTATCATCTTTTGTACAAAATGAAATAGCAAGACCAGCTTTTCCTGCGCGACCAGTTCTACCAATACGATGTGTGTAATCTAGAAACAGAAAAATAATAATATATTCCTTGATATAATTATATATTCCTGTTCTTACAATTTCATTTCTTTTAGTAATATATATTTACCTTCTATAGTTTTAGCCATATCATAATTAATGACCATAGATACATCTTTAATATCAATACCACGACCTGCTACATCAGTGGCAACCAAAATATCTTTACTACCACTTTTCAGCGAAGCAAGTGCATATTCTCTCTGCTCTTGACCTTTTCCACCATGAAGAGTACAAGCATTATACTAATAAAAGAATTAAATATTATATCAAAGTTTGAGTTTACATTAAATATAAAATATGATTTTATTTGATTTAGAGAAAAGAGGAAAAAAGTATAATGTAAAATAATTAAAATTCAAAATTCAAACTTACACCCAATTTCTCTAAACCTCTTGCAAGAACATCAGCTCCTTTCTTCTGATTAACGAATATGATGACTGGTGGTTCAACTCCTCTGCTGAGTATTTCCATCAATTTCTTACGTTTATCAGCTTCACCCATTATATGTACTATTTGTTCTGTTCTTTCTGTTGGTTTTCCTACACTACCGATATATACAACAGCAGGTCGCCTTAAATAAGTTCTGGCTAATCTTTCAACTGCAGGTGGCATAGTTGCTGTAAACATCACAGTCTAAAAAATTACAATAAATATTATTTATTATGTGTATTTAAATTTAGATAAAATGTAGTATCAATTATTTTTTACTTGTCTATATTTTTTCTTTGTATTGTAATTAGCTAAAAGTTTTTCTTCATTTTCAGCATCTTCATTATCTGGTTTTAAATTTGTAACTGGCATATATTCCAAAATTTTTTGAACATCTGAAAATTTGTATAATAATTAATATTATTTATATATACAAATTAATTATATATAAATTATATATGTATATATATATATATAAATTATTAAAGATATACCTGGTTCAAAACCCATATCTATCATTCTATCAGCTTCATCTAATACAATATAAGTACATTGATTTAAAACCAAATATCGATTTTCCAATACATCAATTAATCGTCCTGGTGTGGCTATAACTATCTACAAGAATAAGAATTATTTTAAAATACATTAAATTGCAAGTCCTTTTTTATCAGTAAATGATTATATAAAATTTATACCTCGCAACCCATTCTCAATCTAAATCCTTGTTCTTCTCTCGAGAGACCACCTACAACAACGACTGTTCTTATACCTAATGGTTGTCCAAATTTATTAGTTTCTTCTTCAATTTGTTGAGCCAACTCACTAAAAAATATATTATCTTTTTTTATAAAAAGCTTTTTTATAGAAAAATAAAACAAAGATTAAAAATATAGATAATAATATAAATAAAACATACCGAGTTGGTGCTAAAATTATACTATAAGGACCTTGATCTGCTTCTTCTAATCTTTCAATTTTTGGTAAACTAGTGATCCATAATAATAATGGAATTAAAAATGCTAAAGTTTTTCCAGATCCAGTTTCAGCAACTCCAATAATATCACGATTTTGAAGTCCAATAGGAATAGCTTGTCTTTGAATAGGTGTTAAATCTTTATATCCCACTTTATCAATGATATCAAGAATTTCTTTTGGAAATCCTGACTCTTTCCATGATCTAATTGGATCAGGAATACGTCCTCCTTTTATTGTAATATTATAATCTTCTCTAAATATACGCCAATCTCTTTCTGTCATTTCATGAAGAGCTTTTTCAGACCAATGTCTATCATCCCATTTTTGTTTTTCTTCTTTTCTTTTTACTTTTTTTAATCGCATTCTAATAAATAAATATAAATAAGATGTAAGAGTATATATTATGAAGAATAAGTTCAAATTTCAAAAAAGATACGTACTTCTCCTGTTCTTTTTCAGCTTCTGTTCTTCTTTTTTCTAATAGTTCTCCATAAAATTTACTTTGGTCTCGTTTTTGTGCTTTAATATCTATTCCAGCAAGATTTCCTCTACCAAAAAATTGAACCTGATGTCTTTCCTTATAAATACTATTGTAATCAACAGATGTGTCTTCTGATGTATCCCAATCAAATACAAATTTTCTATCATTTAATCTTCTAACACGTCGTTTTTTCTTCACTAATCCTAAATAACGTTCTTTAATAGCTTCTACTTCTTTTTCTTTATCCTTATCTTTAATTTCTTCCTCTCGTGTACGTTGACCATCTCTACGTCTGTATTACAAAATATCTTAAAATAAATTTTAATGAATTATTTAATGAACTCAATTTATATAGATAAATATTATATACCTATCCCTATCATCCCATTCTCTATCTTTCCCAGCATTTTCATTATGAAAAGATTTACGTATATCCTCTTGTTGTTTTTTTATAGCTTCAACTTCCTCTTGACGTTTTTGTAATGCTAAAGCAGCACGTTCTTCTTTAGTTAAAAATTTTGGTTTAGCACGTGCTTCTTCCTCTGCTTTTTTCTTAGCTAATAATTCTTCTAAACTTAGCGGTTCCTTTTTTGGAGGAGGCTTTGGCTTTTCCTCAATTTCTTCCTCTTCTTTTTTTGCTTCAGTTTTAGTTTCTTTTTTATTTTCATCTTCTAAAACAAATATAGGACTCGGTTTACGTTTTTTTTCATCTTTTGATTTGTCTTTAAATTCTCGTCTTTCCCTTGATCTATCTCTATCTTTTTCGCGTGATCTATCTCTTTCCCGTGATCTTTCACGCGATCTTGAACGTTTTCTATCTTTTTTTCGATCTTTTGATCTACTTCTTGAACGCCTTCTATCTCGTCGCTCTCGATCTCTTTCACGTTCCCGATCACGTTCACGATCTCGTTCACGCGATCGACTACGTTTTATATTTTTTTTATCATGAGCCATTGAATTTTCTGTAAATTAATTTATTCAATTGTTTATAATTAATATAAGAGGTTATAGAATCGTAAATTTTAAAATATTTGTTATATATATATATAATATATGTATATATTTATAAATAACAAAATATATATTATGTATCATTATATTAATAATTATTTTCTACAATAATATTTCTTATAAATATTAATATGTAATATATGCATAATATTTTGATTAAACGTTGTCAATAGTTATGTATAAAATACATAATATAATCTAGCCGAATAGAATTATTCAAATTGTTTTAAAAAATTACAAAATACAAATAAATATAATAATTTCTTCTTACTGAATAGGATTTAATAACTTCTTTTAATAAATCAAAAAATTGACACTAAATCACTCTTAGCAATAGTTTACAATACAGAATTAAGACATGATTATGGTTATCTTTTCAATGCAAGCGATAATTTTAGTTTAGTCATTTAATAAGATAATAATTTTTTTAAATTCTAATTTAATTTAATATAAATTATTTTCGATATAATAAATATAAAATAATAAAATGATTATTTTATTAATTTATTTTATTGATTATTATAATCATATAATCTATCTTAAATTATTTAAAATTATAAAATATTCAAAAAAGTAAATATAAATAAAATATTTATCTTTTAAATTTCCAAAAATTCTTTCTGTGATAATAATTATTTATAGAATGTATATATTTTATTAGGAATTATTAAAAAAAAATTATATTCTATAATAATATGATAATAATATTAATAAAATTGTAAAATTTATTTATGATATTTTCAATAATTTTTTCAACAAATTTTTAATAATTTTAATATAAATTAAAGATTTACTTTCAAATAATTTTTATTTTTATATAAAATTATGAAAAATTTATTCTACAATAAAATTTATTGAATTTTTACCGCTCAATCACAAATAAAATGCCTTGTAATCATTGGAGGGTAGCATGTAAAATTTGAACCAATAGAATCGAAGCATCGAATGAGCTACGGGGAGGCTCAATAAAGGGCGCTAGTGTCCGTCAAGTGTCACAGCCGTTGCCTGTCTCCTCAGTATTGTAACTTAAATCGGTGATTTAATTAGGAATAACGTATTTTTTTCTAGAATTTGTGAAACATTAAGCAATAATGACCGACAAGAAAGGTAACTATACATCGTAATCGCGTAATACAACTAGCAATATGTGTTATACACGTTAAGAATATCTCGTGTTTTCAAGTCGAGAATACCACTTGTCACTCGTACGACGGCGAATTTTTTTATGTTAGCAATGCTATCCAACACCTGTGAAGAATGGTGCACGTTTAAATTCTATCAAAATTCGTATCATTATTACATAAACAAAGTCTAATCTTAATGCGATGAGAAAAATGTGAATTTCTGTTCAGTGACAGATAAATCAATACCGTATTGTGTGTGGGAAATACAAAATGGCTTCCAGAGTTCGTCTTGAATAATTTTCACGGTGACTCTTTATTAAAAGTTGTATGCTATTCAAAATATCATATTTTTATACAATTATTACTAATCTCATATTATATATAACATTATTTTATTTTTATATTTATAACCAAGTATTATATATATTTAAAAAAATATTTTATATATACATATATATGAATAATGATATACTTTACTTTTTGTGTTTAAGAAAAATTTATCTAGTTATAATAATTTGTTATTATTGTGTTTTATTATGCATTATTATTTCTGGTTGAAAGAAAAAATTTAAAATTCTATTATATTTTGAATATCAAAATAAAATTATTTTTTATATTTGACAGAAAATGTCAAATTTTCTATCAGAAATATATGTTTTAATATTAAAACTTTGAAAGTATTAGTAATATTATTGTGATAAAAAAAAGTTAATTTTTATTTTAAAAATTTTAATTTTTATTTTGTGCTTATAGAACTATCTTAATATTAATAAATTATAATTAAACTTTCTAATTTATAATTGAATTCATAATTTCAATTCATATCATAAGAAAAAAAAATAAAAACAAGTAAAGCTAAAAGTATTATATATAATAATATTGGATAACAAAGTTCTGGAAGCCATTATATTTTTTTTATTTCATATTGCTTATAAATATTAAGGTTTTATAATAATGAATTTCCTTTAAATATAATTATATTATTTTTCTAATTTATAATTAAAATTAAATGAAAGAGAAAATGAAAATGATTAAAATTTATTATATCTTAAAAGATATTTTATTTAAAAATTATCAGATATTAATTTCAAATTATATTTTTTTTACATCTAAAATATTTTGTTTTTAATTTATATAAGATAAAATTCTGAATGTTTAAATTATTTTTTTTTATAATTTAAAAAATGCGTTAATATATAAATTATATAGAATATGTTATAAAAAAGCTGTTTAATAACTCGTACGAGTGAGGTATGTAATTTAATATTACTACTGACTTTCAAGTTTTTTACGTGCTGATGGAAACATTTAATTGATATACAGCTTGGACCATGACTACATGATTTTATAGTAATCTATTATTGTACTTAATTAACAGCTCAGACACTTAAGTGATTATTCCTAATTCAGTCCGCTCTGTTCCTAAGGCATATGATTACAGAGCATAGCGTTTAAGGGATGTGTAAAAGTTTAGTCTGTAAGTAGATCAGTATATATTGTTAATGATTATTACGAAAAATAACGAGAAATTGAGGATTACTGCTGCAAATCTGCGAGCATATTATCGTGACGGTATAGTCGCTAAAAAACCGAAGGATAGCGCCTACAGTTGTGGCTGTCAATATGTTTGCAGCGGACCATTACAAAGACGATTTGATCCCAGTCAGTAGGTGGAGCTTCGGAGACCGGCGTTCGCGCAGCCTAAGCCACGTATCTAACCTCACCTTACTCTCTATATATTACCTAACTCACT